CACACTACTATATTGTGATTTTATTTTCTGTTCAATTAGTGTTCACTACAGAACTGTGGGGGGACAGATTGTATTATGACGGTTCATCATTGTAAAATAGACATTTGAAATAGAGTGGAATAAAGCAGGAAAATTAATCAGTTTAAAAAGGCTATTATTCACCTTCTGTATGTGCTTTAAGTCTTCGACGTAGAACGCATTTTAATCTTTGTTTTGCATAAATCACTATTGATTCATGTGAAATATCCACTCCTGTCATCAGACAATCTCTTGTCGGTGGACAGACTGTAAAGCAGAGCGATGTGTGATATCACAACAGATGGCTGTAATGAAAAAATTTAGTTTGTGATGTAGTCAGAAGAAAATGCTGCACTGCTTCAATGCATTACAGGCTCGTGACTCGTCAGAACGCAAAACGGAATGTAGCATTTGGTCATGCTACACCGCTACTAGCTGGAAAAAGTAGTTAGTTACTGGAAAAGCTACACTGTTTTAAAAGTAGCGGAGCTACCATCACGCTACTGAAAAATTTAGTTACGTTAGTAGCGTCACTACTTGTAGCTAGCTACTCCCCAACACTGCTAACCAGTGTGACTTTATTTTTGTCATATGATATATTAGATGTTGTACTTTCATTTGAAGCCTTTCTTGTTGTAACATTTGCTTCATAAGCATAGTTACAGTAGCCAGAGAAAAACTAATGTTTTAAAGTTAAGGGTCAAGAGCCCAACTAAAGCAAACTCTACAGTAGGTGCGTTTACATGGAGCATTGGAATTGGTTTAAAAGTCCAATCTGAATGAAAATGCTCCATATAAACACCTCAATCGGAATAAAAATGCCCAAACCAAATGCAATTGTAATCGGTTTGAGAGGGGTGGGATAAAACTTTCTATAAACCGAACAAAATAAAAATTACTTTGTGTCTACATCATCATGTAAAGAAGTCAGGGGTCTTCAGAATGCAAAATGGCGGCGGCAAAATCAAACTGGAGTATAACTGAAACAACACATGTATTAAATACACTGAAGGAACTAACTCCACACGCTTCTGCTTTTCGGAGAAGGTAGGAGTAGTATTGATATGCTCCTTAAAGATGCACAGCCACCAAAAATTTTAGCTTCCTGCACCCGTCTTTTTCTCATACCTTCCAGCATTAGTATGCCTACAAATTCACGCTATTGCTTGATTAAGAAGCAACACTTTACATAAAAATAGCATGCAAAAGAAATAATTGAACTCCATGTTGACCGGAATAAAAGGCGGCAAACAGGACATAGGCAGATCACCGTTGTTTTCTCAGTGCACGACTATCTGGGGTAGCATTCAGTTGCTGCTGTGTTCACATTGCACAATGGATCGCGACAGGAGGTTACACACTGCATGACTTTACAATAGGAAGAATCGCTGACAACTCTATCTGGTCAAGGGTTGCCAGGTTTTCACAACAAAACCTGCCCAATTGCTACTCAAAACTAGCCCAAAACTAGCCCAATCGTGTTTCGAGGGGAGTCCCCCGGTAAAAATCATGTTCCGGGGGTAAAACACGTTTTTTGGCGGGGTTCCCCTGGTAAAACTTTCATTCCAGGGGCTAAATATCATGTTATTGGGTCGCTTCAACCTGTGGACATGAAAAACAACCTGCGGCAACACTGTTAAAGTAGCACAATTCCGTGGGAAAACCATGGACTTGGCAACACTGTTCTGGTCCGCAAACTACGCTTTCATATAACTCATATAACACTTCCCCAAACTTCCCTGCTCTGTATCTTGCTCTCTCATTGGCTGTAGGTCATTGCGATGTATTTTTCAGTCAGAACTCCTTTCACACAGCAGGATTTTGAATCGCCGACAGGTCCAGATATTTAGCATGCAAAATATTTCACAATATTTCCCCGAAAATCGTGGCAAAAAAAAATGCAGTGTGAACTCGGCATAATGGGTATTGGATTAGATAACGGATAATTGGATTAGTAAACAGTCCACCAAATCTTTCAATTGGAAAGATTTTAATCAGAATGACAAAAAAGTGTACATGTAAATGCAACTACTGATTGCCAAACACTGATGGTGAGGTCAAACGAAAATCTAAATTTCTGTTCATTTCTTAATAAGAACCTTTGTTGTAAAGTGGTGAGTCATGACAACGGAGTTGGGGATCCAAATGCAAAGCTTTATTAACAAACGTGGTCAAAACAGGCAGTCCAGAGTACAGGGGGCAAGAGTCTGAGGTGGAGTGCCCTCTAATGGACTTCATGGGCACTCCAGCTGGCGATCGCAACATTTGTACACATATGACAGAAATAAAGCCACTGGTTAGTAATAAGTGAAGCTGGTGATGCTGTTTGTGGAGTTATTTATTCCTCCTCTGCTGAGATCTTGAAAGATTTAATGTGTTTTATTTCAGGTGATTTCATCTAAGGCTGTGACTGGAAGTCAGTTGTAGTTGTGTTTCTGTTCTTGTTGTTCTTTCCTTCAGTGATTGTGCTTGTTAACAGCAGGTGTTCATCAGTGTCTGAATTCACTCGTTTGTGTTCAATCTAGGGATGCATCGATCCGATACTCAGTATCAGAGATTTAAACTGTTAAAAGAAAAGGCTCAATAAAATATTGCACAGATATAATACAATACGCAGCAATATCTCGTCCCTTTTTTATGCGGAGCGCTGCATGCTGTGACTCCGTGTAGCTTCAAGCGCATCATTCTGCGCACGGGATACGCATAAGCGCTTTGTGCCGCTCTGTATTGGAGCCATACCCTTTCGTATTATACTTTTGCACAACGAAAGATTATTAATAGTGTTTTTTGTTCTGTTCTATCTATCATATGTTGCTGCCTTCATTACTGTGCTATACATTTAAAAGAAATATCTTTTAATTTTATAGTACATATTTTATTTATATATATATATATATT